ATATGTGTGTGTGTATATATACACACATATATAGTTAGTGCTGAAGATGTTTATTTGTAAAGGAAAAAATTAGGGAAGAATTCATAGATTTTATAAAAGTTAATGGAATTACCATCAGACCAAATGATGTCAATTGTTTTTAATGACACTTATGAGGATGTTAATTTGTTCATATGCATTGACTTCATGAGTATCAGTTTGTTTTTGAGTAAAGTATATCTTCTGATATTCATCTCTGATCTGTTGTGGACCTTTTTGTATGCCAATGTAGTCATGTATTTTTTTTCCTGTTTATTTTTTTTAAGAGGTAAAATTTTGCTAGACTCGAATTCCTGGACTCAGAAGATTCTCCTGCATTAGCCTTCCAAGTACCTAGGAGTACAGGGACATGCCATTGCACCCTGCTTTCCTGTTTTGTTCTTCTATTTTAACATTGTTCCAGAAAACCTCAAAGTTTGGCATATTTATTAATGGATAATTTTTGGTGTCAGCATGTAAATAAATGAGAATTGGGCTAATAATATGCACCTCTACAAGTAGTTTTTAAAAATCTGTAAGCTGGGACTGGGCATGGTGGCTCACACCTGTAATCCTAGCACTGTGGGAGGCTGAGACAGGTGGATTGCTTGAGCTCACAGGTTCGAGACTAGCCTGAGCCAGAGTGAGCCCTTGTCTCTAAAAAATAGCTGGGCATTGTTGCAGGTGCCTGTATTCCCAGCTTCTTGGGAGGCTGAGGCAAGAGGATCACTTGAGTCCAAGAGTTTGAGGTTGCTGTGAGCTATGATGTAACAGTACTCCTCCAAGGACAACAAAGTAAGACTCTGTCTCAAAAAAAAAACAAAAACCTATAAGCCTTTAGAAATTGAACTTGGTGAAAAGGTTAGCATCATTTACTTTGCTCCAAGGCCAGTCTTTTCCAAGTCATTCCTCCTTCCTGTTCTTGGAAGTTCAAAATTGTATACCTTAAGTAATTTGTCCAATACTCATATCTCCAAAATAGGTGTAAATAAGAATAAAAAAGTGAGTACAAATATATTTATTTTAGTTCACCTTTGGATTCCTTTAGGCCTATGGGTCAGAACCTGTTTTTTGCCTTAGTGCAAATAGCTGATAAGTACACTAGATTGGCTAAACTTGCATGAGTATAGCCTATCTATTATTATGGGGGAGAGAAGGAGTTGGGATTTGGTGTGTCATGATATCATCTGTTGATGTTCACTTAAGAGTCATGTTCTGAACACCTGTGGACGCAGTGGCCTAGGATGTGAGAGTGCATAGGCCACTTTTGGACATATCCTTCCATCAAAAAGTTTAAATCTCATAGGAGAAATTATATCATGATATACATAATGATAATACAGGGTAGAAAATGTAGGGTGTTGTACACTTCCTGGCAGCTGGAGCATTTGAACTGGGCCTTGAATGATGGATAAGAACCAGGGAGGTAAAGATTGGATGGAGCCAGAGAAGGCAATTCAGCCCTGAGGAACAGCACAGGAGCAAGTGGGTGAGTTGACTTGGCTGGATCAGACGACCCATACAGAACCAGGTGAGGTGGCTCATGCCTGTAATTCTAGCACTCTGAGAGGCGGAAGTAGATTTCCTTGAGCTCAGGAGTTCAAGACCAGCCTGAGCAAGAGCAAGACCCCGTCTCTGCTAAAAATAGAAAAATTTAGCCAGGTATGGTGGCAGGCATTTGTAGTACCAGCTGCTGCTCGGAAGGCTGAGGCAAGAGAGTCCCTTGAACCCAGGAGTTTGAGGTTGCTCTGAGCTAGGCTGATGCCATAGCACTATAGCCTGAACAACAGAGTGATACAAAAGAAGACCCACACAGGAATTAGTGAAAAAGAAAGTAGGTGCCACATTCAGAAAGGCCAAAATGGAAGTAACACATAACAACCTAAGGTTAATGTTTTGTGCTGTGTTCTGATTCTTGATTTAAAGGTCAAAGTTGCAAGGCCTATGCAAGAAATGAGATATAGATGAATGGCTACTATGTCAGCTGTGATTTGAGACTATTATGAGCGAAGGTTCTAAGTTAAATTTAATGTGACTGTGAATTTGGGGGGAGATAATAGTCACAACTTTTATGTGGTTTCAAAGGATTATGTGACCATAAAAGGTTGGGATCTGCTACTATACTTCCTGGCATGCCTTGCACATAACATATTTAAGATGAATATTTGTTGGTTTGACTATTGTATTAATTGTTTATGTATAACTATAAAACTGTGAGCAGAGTTCTAATGCTTGGGAATTCATGGGATATCACCAGAATCTGAAAATTCTCCCTCCCTCATGGAACTGTCTTTTTCTTAAATGGATCTTGCCATCTAAATGTGTCTGCAGGGTCCAGAGCTCTTTGATCCAGGCATTTAATGTAACCTTCCTGGGTTTTTTGTGTTGTTTCTCTTCAGGGAAAGAAGGTAGATGGCTCTGTAAATGCCTATGCCATAAATGTATCTCAGAAGAGGAAGTACAGGTATGTGTAGCTCTATTGTTGTGTTTGAACTAATGAAATCCTGCTAAAAAACAAATTTTATAATGGAGTAATCATGTTTGTAGGAAGTATAGCAGTTTCCCATACTGTTCCTTGTTTTAATGAAGTATTATCTCCATTGCTAATATTCTAGTATGTTAAAATCATTTTCCCATTTACATTTGAGCTAATAGCTATTATTAGACAGGATATTTGTCTCACATATTTTAGGGCTATAGATAATAATTTCCTCAAAACTGCAGCATTTTAAGTCTGTGGACTTTGATTTTACTATAATTATTCATTTAAATAGATCTCTCCTGAGCTTTTTATCTAGATTGATTGTAATAAGATTTTAACTGTAAATATATTCCTCTGTTAAGTATAGGCATATTTCATTTGTACCATAGATTTGGAACAAACCATTCCATACTTGAATCTCACTGAATTCTTTTTCTTTTTGGGGGGTGTGGGAGACAGAGTCACATTACATTGCCCTTGGTAGAGTGCTGTAGCATCACAGCTCACAGCAACCTCAAATTCTTGGGCTTAAGTGATTTTCTTGCCTCAGCCTCCCAAGTAGCTGGGACTACAGCCACCTGCCACAATGCCCGGGTATTTTTTTGTTGTTGTTGTTGTCATTGTTGTTTAGCAGGCTTGGGCAAGATTCAAACCCACCAACCCTGGTGCATGTATCCGATGCCCCTGAATTCTTAATCAAAAAGATAAGACATTTTCAAACACTGATAAAAGACTTAATATGCCAATTAATTTAGACTATGAATAATGGGATTTGAGATTGCTGTAAGCTTAGGTACTAGAATTATCTTGAATAGTCTTCTGTAAAATAACCTTCAAATAGGGATGTATGAGGACAGTTATTATAGTATATAACTGCATTTGCTCCATAGAGGCCTATTATTTATTTATTTTTTTTAGAGGCAGAGTCTTAAAATGTCTTTGTCACCCTTGGTAGAGTCTTTGTCACCTTTGGTAGAGTGCAGTGGCATCACAGTTCACAGCAACCTCCAGCTCTTGGGCTTAGGTGATTCTCTTGCCTCAGCCTCCTGAATAGCTGGGACTACAGGTGCCCGCCTTGACGCCTGGCTATTTTCTTGTTGCAGTTTGGCCAGGGCTGGGTTTGAACCCATCACCCTTGGTATATGGGGCCGGCACCCTACTCACTGAGCCACAGGTGCTTCCCTAGAGGCCTATTTTGTAACTCCTCTATTTCCAAACTACATATTTAGTGTTGCCTAAAATACATAGGATTTTCAGTTTATTTTCCGAAATAATTTTAAAAGTATACTTCTGCTATTTGTAATTTAAAGAAATCTGGAAGGCTTTGGCTTATTTTGAAAGTAGAACTATTTCTTAATATGTGTTAAATAATCTTGCCTAGTTTTCTACCATGTACTTTGCCATTTTAAAGATGGTTTATAGGTTTAATCTCTGAAGCATGTCTTTTTTTATAAGAGGAGTCCAAAACTTTTAAAAATAAACAATGAATTTTCTCTTCTCATAGGCAGTACATGAATCGAAAAGGTGGATTCAACAGACCTTTGGATTTCATTGCATGAGAACTGAAATGTTGAAGAATGATTTTTTTTTCCCCCTTATCTTGGTCAGAGAAAGGATTTTGTATTTTGTTCTTTAGTATGCATCAAAACAGGATCTTATTCTCCTTATAAAGTAAGAAAATCTTATTTATGGTGCACATGGTTCACTTACCTTGCTTCAAAAGAAGAAAGGTTAAATATCACATTTTTTTCTTTTAGGAAATATTTGTGGCATTCATCAGCCCTATTTTGTTTGTCCTTATTCCTGTGGAAGCTGTATGTGTTTTCTTCTTGGATGCTCATTAGGACTTTTAAAAAAACATGAAAGTAATTTGGATGTAAGTTCACTAATAAAGGAATATTTCTACCCTTTTATATTTGATATTTTTGTTACTAGGTGAAAGAATTTCTTTAGAGATTTTCATTTTTGCACACATAGATTTAGGTGTCTGATTCTTAGTAATATAAGAATTGGAAGAATGAAAAAGTATAACTTCAGATTTTTGTATCTTCTGTGTTTTTGCCCCCAAATACCATTTATTACTTTTACTTCAATTATAAAAGCAATACATGGTTATTATATAAGAAAAAAAGCTTGGGAGAAACCAAAACTTAAAAGAGAAGCCAAAATTTACCATATCTTAATCTCCCAGAAATAATTAGTGTTAGTGTTTTGGTATATGTCTTTCCAGGTTCCTGTGGGTATAGATTGCTCACCCAAGTTTCTTAGCCACTGGGTAAAATAATGGTACCATTTGGGTTTATTTTTGTTTAGCTTCTAGGGAGGATGATATTTTTTAAAGGTATTAGCCACCAGTATTTCTTTTGTGAAATGCTAATTCTAAATCATGGATTCATTGGACCCATGATTGGAATGCTTTTCTTTTTCCCAGTGTCTGCGGCTCAGAAGGGTAGGGTGCCAGCCTCATATGCCGGAGGTGGTGGGTTTAAACACAGCCCCAGCCAAAAAAACTGAAAAAAAGAAAAGCTGTTTTTATATTGAAGAAGATAATAACCATCAACCATTCTGTTTCATACCTTGCTGATAAATTTGAGTCTCTGACTAGATTTTACATTTTATTTTTCTGAGTACTATAAACACATGATACACAGTTCAGGTGGTACAGAGGGTGATGAGTTAATTGTGTATCCTTTAGAGACATTCCATATATGATTGTTTTTCTTTATATATTTTTATTCAAATAGAAGCAAACTGTACTCACTCTGTTCTGCACCTAGCCTTTGTTCACTTACTAGTTTTAAGATTATTTTTTATCAGTACTTATAAAACTGGTTTTTGTTTTTTTGGGTTTTTTTGAGACAGCCTCAAGCTGTCACCCTGGGTAGAGTGCT